CACCTCTGAGGACAGGTTAGCTGGGGCCACACCTCACAGGAACCCTGGGGTTGACCCTCACAAGCAGGGGTCCTCAGACTTTTTGAACAGGGGGCCAGTTCACTGTCCCTCAGACCGTTGGAGAGTGTGAGGCACATTCCACACTAGCGCACTGTGGGCCCGGGAGGAGTCGGCTGCTAAGCAGGACAGGCAGCGGCGGCAAAAACACCCGGCGGGCCGGATAAATGTTCTTGGCGGACCACATGTGGCCCATGGGCCGTAGTTTCAGGACCCCTGCACGAGAGCCTCAGGCCAGCGGCCAGCCCTGCAGGGCTGCTCTTTGGATCCCCGCCCTACAGGGAGGACAGCCCTGGTCTCACACCTTGCAACGCTGCTCCTGTGCCACCAAACCTGGCAGTTGTCTAAGTGCGGTCCCCCGACCTGCAGCAGCAGCATCACCTGTGAACGTGGTGGATGAGCACACGGTCCGTCCGGGCCCCCAGACTGCTCCGTCTGAAACTCTGGGAGGGGGCGCCCCCCCCGGCAATCTGTGCCTTAACAAACCCTCCAGGTGATTCCTGCGTGTACCAACATTTGAGACTCTCTGCTGTCAGCCCGAGAAGATTCCACGAGCCCCTGGCTTTTTTATCCTGACGACGGCTTGGCCTTGCCAGAGGGAGGGAGTTTGGTGCTCCGAGATTCCTCCTTGACATCTTCTGGAATAAATGGAACCGCTGGGCTCTCTGCTCTCCTGGGAAATTACCAACGAGCAAGTAGGGGGCGGAGACAGCAGCACGGGAGACGGGGGATTTGCCCGTCCTCCTGGAAGCCGTTTTTCCTTTGCTCTCAATGAGGGATGGGCCATGAGAATGAGGAAATAAACACTCTGCTCTAAGGAAACAAATAAATCTCCATGGTTGTGATATATTGGCTCCACCTGCTAAAAACGGCGTTCGTCTCTGCATGCATTCGTCTCTGCATGCATTCGTCTCTGCATGCGACTCCGACGCATTGTTTCCTTGGCACGGGGCCACAGCCATCAACACCGATCAGTGTGGGATTTATCTGCCACCCCCTGCGCCAGCAGCCCTGTTAACCCCTCCCGCACGCACAGGTGTGGCCCCTCTTGACTGCATGAGGCCGTGCAACGGACAGCCAATTTGTCCGTCGGCTTTGTCTGTAAAGTCCTGTATCGTGATTACTTTCTGGCTGTAAGAGATCTTCTACCAAAGCTGACAGATACGTCACAGTGGCACAGGCGTTAGCTCACACACCTGCCAGGTAAGCGAAGAGTCACGAGCTGTTCCTGGAGGCACCGGACTGCCCGGTGCAGAGGCCACAGCGCCTCCGGGGGAGCCTGTTTCCTGCATGTGGAACTCTCGGATGCCTTGGTGTCGCGGACCTACCATTTGCATTTACTACGCGGCCACCCGGCTAAGAAAGGTCAGAGACCTTTTGGTGTGTAGCCCCATCAATCACACCTTCTCCACATGGGATTTGTTTTAGGTATTTACGAGTCCCGAGGACGGACCTTCCGACAGCAATCCCCAATGTCTCTCTTATGAGACCACGGTGCTCAGCGGTGGGCGACAGCCCTGCCCTTCAGTAGGCTGAGACTCGGCCTGCAAAGGATTCTAGCTCCCAGTGCTGTTAAACGCCATCGATGGGCTGGGCGTGGTGGCTCACGCCTGTACTCCTAGCAGTCTGGGAGGCCGAGGCAGGCGGATTGCTCGAGGTCAGGAGTTCAAAACCAGCCTGAGCAAGAGCGAGACCCCGTCTCTACTATAAATAGAAAGAAATTAATTGGCCAACTAAAAATATATAGAAAAAATTAGCCGGGCATGATGGTGCATGCCTGTAGTCCCAGATACTCGGGAGGCTGAGGCAGGAGGATCGCTTGAGCCCAGGAGTTGGAGTTGCTGTGAGCGAGGCTGACGCCACGGCACTCACTGTAGCCTGGGCAACAAAGCGAGACTCTGTCTCAAAAAAGCACGCCATCAGTGACCATCAAACTGGCTGTTGGTGTCATGGCCCTTGGCCGAGGGAGCCCGCATCTGTGGACGCTGGAGCAGTCAGCGGGGCTCTCCCCGATGGTGGGATCCAGGAGGCCCGTGACTTGGCTGTGGGTCACGAGCAGACATGACGGGGTCAAATAAGACGTCGACACTGGGCGCCTGGGTGTCGGGGGATGGGGCTGCCCTAACACGAGTGGCCAGTGCTGGTCCTGGGACGCCAGGTGATGGACGCCCCTGCACGTGCCGGGGACGTCACGTGGCAGGACTTCGGTGGAGACAGAGTCTAGGGAAAGAGTCTGGGCCGGAGACGCAGAAACGGGAGCCATTCCCACGGACGCTTGAGCCACGGGGAGGTGGAGGCCCAGGGGAGAGTTTCCGGAAAGCGGGCTGTGGATCAGCAAGCCTTGGGGGTGTCAGCACCGAGGGCCGTGAACGGGGCACGGCGCTGACGGCGACAGACGGGAAACCAGAGCGCAGGAAGAAAGTGAAACGCAGCGCCAGGGAAAACAGCTGAGGACAGGGCTCCAAGGTGGGGACCCGTCGGCCATCTGACAAGTTTGAGAGAAGGAAGAAGATGATGAGCAGAGGTCGGGGTGACCACTGGTCCTCGCCGTGGTGAGGGGCAGGGGGTGAAGCGGGCTCAAGGGCCCAGGGCTGGGCTCGGGAGGGCTGTAGGGCAGTCCCGGGAGGCACCTCCCTGCCTGCTTTGAGTCTCCGTGCACCAGTGTGTGTGTATAGTTCTTCGGGCATGTCGCTTGGATGATTTTATATAAGAAAAGTGGAGGCCTAATGGAGTCTGGCCAGATAGACGAGAGATGATGGCCCGACTTCCCGGCTGCTCCGCCTGCTCCCGTAAGTTGGACGTCCCGAAGACTCCCCGCTCCCGCATTAACAATGCCCGGTCTGTCCAGGACCGCAGCCGGTCCCGCCTCGTCGCCCAGTCCCCGGATTACAGATCTCCTTGGGTTGAGAGACTCGCCCTCACTCGGTACAAGAGACTTCCTCCTTCTTCCTCCAGGGGCGCTGCATGCGGACCCGGTCAGGCTCTGTCCACGTGGGTGGGGAGACGGGGCCACAGCGTCTCCTGCCTGGCCCGGCGGGAGACTCTCGGACTCTCAGTGTCCATCCGAGAGCAGACATGGCCTGCGTGGCTGTGGGAAGCTGGTCCCCAAGCTCAGACGTGACTGGTAGGGGTCAGAGAGCAAGAGGTCAGATACGAGGTGCCCGCGCCTCTCTTCCCAGGCTGATGGAGTGTGGTGTGGGTGCTGGAGCTCCAGCAGCCGTCGTGGGACATGAGGACACCCTGGGACAAGGCAGAGGAGCCTTACGGAGGTGAACAATGACGCCGGCACTGGGCCAACCGCACTCCTATGCGGTCTGTTTTCCCGAGAGAAGTTAACTCCCATCTTGTCTGAGCTCCTGTGGTTTGCAGTGTTCTCCCCATCACCGATGTGGCCCTCACGGGAGCACCCCTGACCCCGCGGTGCGGTGCTGACTGGAGAGAGCTGCTCCCCGCTCGGCTGGTGGCTCAGCCCTGTGCTCCTCAGAGCTCACGGGTCCCCTGGTGCTGCTGCCTCGGCCTGGGAGGGGGCCTGGGAGCCTGCATTTCCGAGAAGCCCCCAGCCAGGGTATTCTGTGCTGCAGGCCCCGCCCACACCGGGAGCTGCTGGGGCTGAGAACGCACCTGCCTGCTTGGGCCCCGGCCCAGGTGTCCTCACCTGCCACGTTCAGGACACTTTCTGTCCAACCGCTGCCTGCAAGAGCTGCCTCCAGGGAAAAGCAATCAGCAAAGAGGATTTTAATGTGGGAGTACCTGGTGGGGCGGAGGTCTCTGCAATGACTGTGGTCCCGGAGGCTGGCTGCCTCATCACTCTTCAGCCTCAAGTGACGGGTAATATATCACCTCTCCTCAGCTGGCGGCCGGCCCCGTGAGCTTCACTCCACAGCACAATCTTCTGGCACATGTAAGACAAGAAGTTGGAGCATCAGTGGCTGATGCATATTAAAGGCCCAGCAAGGAGCCAGCAGATGCATTAACAGTCCATTCCCGCTTTTCCCAACCCGGCAGGTGGATTATCAGGTTTCTGTTTTAACACTGGCTCTTCTTAGTGCTTGCCTGGAAACTGAAGGCTGCAGCCCAGGAACCCCTGATTTTCTCTGGGGATGCTTAGTGCTCCTCACGACAGCAGGTCTCACTGGAATCAGACGGTCCCCCCCAACCTTTCCATCCTCCCTTTGGCTCCCGCACAGACTCGCTGTGAGTGCCGTGGAGAAGGCGCAGGTCCTGGGCCAGAGGGCTGGGCTCAGAGGAGCTCTCAGCCCAGCCTCCCTCCAGCTGAAGCCTGCGGGTCTGAGTCTTCTCCTGTCACCCCGCCGCCCCTGCCTGGGCAGCGTGTGGCTTCTGCGATGCATCCCCAGGCTTCTCTGTTCATGCCTGTGCCGTCCTCCCGGCTGGCTCAAATGATTTCCGTTGCTGCCTGAGCCAAACGTTCCCATACGTTGTTTTTACGTTTGAAAACTGCATCAAGCTTTAACTTTATGCCAACAGCACAATTTATTATTAATTTTAAAAAGTAGTTGCTTGAGCAACTTAATCACCAGCCTGGGAGCATCACCCTCCTACTGGGTTTATTGCTTTAAATGAGTTTGCAGTTCTCATTTGCCATGGCGCGGACCAGGGTGTGATGTCAAAGTTCTGGGTCTGCTCCTTTCCCGCCTGGCCTGTGGATTACGCACTGCCCAGCTGCCAACCACTATGTCTGGACAGCCATCTGCTATTTTTAGAAATAACTGTTTATCATAAAACACATTTACTATAAAAAATCTAAGGTCTGTATATGAGCAAAAGGAAGAAAAAAAAAAACCACCCATAATCCTATCACCGAGAGGACCAGGGGAGATATTTCTGTGCAGGAGTTTTCAGATTACCTGTGTGAGTGTGCATGTGTGTGAATGTGTGTGCACGTGTGTGTGAGTATGTGTATGTGCATATACAACGTACTCCAGTGGTTTTTCAAATGAAAATTGTCTCACTTTATTGTAACCTGTATTTTTGTTCAATAATATGTGATTTTTGTCTTAGTCATTAAACATCCTCCTCTGACAATGATGGTTGCCTCTGATGAAAGTCGTACTTATCCAAGGTGTCTTTAATACACAGATCCCCGGGCTCTGCAGACAGTAAATCCGATGTGGGGATCAGAGCATCTCACATCATTTCAGTTTTTATTCATTCTGTCCCATATTGTTGAAAATGGAGGCTATTCCAAATGTTTTCTTGTAGTAAATACGGTTGCTATCTTTGCACACGACAAACATTGAGGACACACTCTGGAAACTGGATCACTGAGTCAAAGGCCCTTTACCGTGTTCCGATGCAAACTGTCACTCGCACTCCAGAAAGACGGGACCCGTGAACACGCACAGCAGGGAGTGGCAGTGCCCACCTGCCTGCAGCGAGGCCAGCTGGCACTGGTGTTAAAACAGTTTTACTATCTTCCAATTTCATAGATTCGGTCATTTATTCACTCATTCAGGTCTATTTTGCTCAGCCACTCTGGGCCTCACACAATTGCTGATCTCTCGTGCTGCTCCCTTGAGAATGGGAGTGAATCTGTTTTGCTATCATTTATACCTTCAGCACCAAGGACAGAGCCTGGCACATTTGAGGAAAATACAAGCTTAACGAACAAAAAGAATTGTCTGCCCACTCAGGGGCAACTTCTTCACTGGGAAAATGCTGCCAACCGCTGCTGCCACCCCAGGGATTCCAGGGCTGAGGGGCGCCCTGGTGCGCAGGCTGGGAGACGCCATCCAAGACTTCCTTCCCTATTGCCCCTCCAGGCTGAAGCAGCGGGCACAGAGACACCCCTTCAGCCCACAGTGGTCTTGGGTACGTGGGTGGTTCATATTCTTGATCGACCATCCAGGATAGTGTGCTCCTCGCTGGACCCGCTCAACACCTGCGACCGGCGGCAAAGCTCCAGCGAGTCCACACTGAGCACGAGCTGAGTCCCACACGCCTTGGGGGTGCAGTAAATGGACTACGACGAGCACATAATTACCCTCAAAGGGGATCCGTGTCCTTTATCCTTCTGAATACGCTTGTACATTATGAGCTTTTAATTAAAACTGAGGCAGGTGTCACTCTGCACTAAGATCGTGCGTGAGAAACGAGAAGATGGAAACGGTGCTGAAAGGCCTTGGGTATTTATAATGCAAGGTAATTGCAGCGCCGTTCCATGAAAAGCATTTTGTTCTTGAAAATTGAAATAGAGACTTTGATGTCTTTTGAGATCCATATTGCATTTTTAATTCACACCGAGCCTCCTTTCTCGGTTCTCTACGCTCCGCCGAGAGCACTGGGGACAGGTAACATTCTGGTAGCACAGGTGTGGGCGGGCTCGGGCAGGGATGGGATGGCCCAGTTCAAGGCTGCCCCGTGGCGGGCAGCGATGGATGCATCTGGAGTCTGGGTGCAAAGGGCGAGGGGCGCCAGCCCTACCGTGGCCGAGTCGTGGCAGTCAGGGAGGTTTGCAGAAAGGCCTTTCACTTCCTAAGGAACCCGAGTCCCAAGCTGGGCTGCAGCCCCGGGCTACGGCCTCTGCCAGGGACAGGTCACGGTTCTTCGAGTCCAGGCTGCAGACAGGGACTCTGGCCAGTGCTAAGCATCAGGAAACTTGGAAACACTTGGCCATCTACTGCATTTTCACTCAGAACGCTGAGTCTTCCCCCTGTTCTGACACTTCGGGAATGCAGTGTGAAGGGAAGGGGAGGAGGGAGCTTGGTTCAGAGTGGGCCTCCTCTCTGCATCCTCACCCCAGCCTGGGTGGCTATTCCCCTTGAGGACCTGGCAGGAGACACCACCACCAGGGACATCTTCCAGCAGCCCCACCTTGACGAGTGACCCGCCGCTTCCTGAGGGCTCACCTGCAGCAGGGAAAGCACTCCCAAGGCACTTTAAAGGCGAAGAATAGAAAACGCCCCCAGGACAGAAAGCCCAGGTATGTGCAGCATCACTTTCTACCTTTTCATGAAGAGCCTCTTCACGGGAGTCCTTGGTCTTGTCTTTCCTCTGAGCTCTGCAGGATGGAGGTAGGAAACGTGAGTGCCCCCACCTCTAACACCAGCTCCACCCAGATTCCTGGAGATGCCTGAGTCCCCCTATCTCGGGGTTTCTCTATGTCCCAGATTGGCAGCTGTGACATCCCAATTAAGCCCCACTTCGAACAACGGGAGGGCGACTGAGCAGGATCTGGCAGCAGGATGCAACCTGGGAAGATTTACGAATCAATTCAAGGAGGAATGTTCATGTAAGCTCTTTTTTTAATCTAAGAGATAAAAGGCTTCACTGCAAAATATTTACTGCACCCATGAAGCTGGAAAAGAAATCGACTCAGGAGGGTTATTTTATTTAAACATTTTGGCATCTCTGTGGAAGATCGAAGGACGATGATTTAGAACGTGATGTGCTGTAGGAAGGAGGGGTCACACCAACCTGACCAAGCCCTCGTCTCCTCCTCAGGACCAAGCACTCACGCCAGCCGACTGCCCTTCTTTACCCCTCACCACGGTTTCCGAACAGTACGCTTCCCAGAGCACCTGACTCTCAGGTTAGAAGGAATATGGGGCCTTATCTGACCCTTCCTCAATTCTATGTCTGGGTCAGGGGCCACACTCAGCCTGTGTACAGGAAACCTGTGTCGTAATCTACCGGTGTGTGTGTGGGTGTCTGTGTGAGCGAGCGGCCTGTGCCTTCCCGTGTCAACTGCCCATGGGTGTGACTTACGGGCTGCCAATGTGTGTCACCTACGTATCTCCTACGCGACATGCTGGGTCACTTGTGTGCCATATACGTGCCGTTCCTTGTGTTCTGTGTGCCACCTGTGTGTGCCCCTTGTGGGCGCATTACCTGTGAGTGCCTCCTGTGTCCTGCAGTCTGTATGTGTGACCTGCATGTTACATCCATGCTGCTGTCTATTACATCTGTGTCACCCAGCCACACGGTCCCCCGTGTTAACTGGCGTATGTGTGCATGTACCATCTCTGTGTGCACCGTGTGCTGCATCTTTTGTTTCCCCATGTATTAAGCAGGCGAGATGGCTGTACGTTACCTGAGTTTGTTGCCTCTGCGTGTCACCTGTCGGTGTGCCAACTACACGTGCACTCACCTGGGTGGGTTGCTCACACGCGTGACTGGTGCAGTGTGGACTTCCCGTGTCTGCCTCACCTGCGCCCGTGCTGCCAGCGTCCTGAAAGGCAGAACAAGGTGAGCTGGCCCCAAACCGCCAGCACCACGAACCAGACTCTTGTGAGCTAATTACCCGCTTACCCGAGCGCTGGCGCTGCCACCTGTGTGGTGACCTTGACAGGCGGTCAGCAGATCCCCCTACTGGAAATGGGAGAAGAAACAGGTTTGGAAAACGTGTGATCTGCTGAAGTGTTTTTATTTTCTACTGAATTGTCATGCTTGTCCTTCTTGTGTCCTTTGAAATGATCACATCTAAAGACTGGCTTTGTTGACAGCGGTGCTTTGTGCTTGCTGCGATCTCAGACTTTCTCGGGGTTCTCCGGGAGGGGTCGTTTCCTTTCACTGGCAGGTCTGAATCACACGCCATTATTTACGGAGCAGTTGGGCAGCTTCTCTCGGCTTCCCTTGTTATCACCAGCTGCACCGGCTCTGGCACGGGTCCCAGAATGTCGTCTGTGGCCTGTGGCAGGTGACTCCTCCTGTGGAGCCTGCGTACGAGTCCGTGTCCACGACAACGGCGTGGCCGAGTGGCTCTGGGAACTCGCTCCCCTCTCGCCCTTCCTTGACGTTCACTCAGTGACCTGATCTTTGTCCACCGTGTGTTGTGGGCCAGGTCCTCCCCTGGGTGCTGGGCGTCAGCCTCAGAGGGAAGGTCAGGTCCTGCACATCAACTCACACGTCAGAGATCCCAATGCGAGGAGGGGGTTATTTTGATGATGTGCGAACATCATGAAGTGGATTCCACAATGGACTAATGTTTTGACCCTCCCGGCCAATTCACATGTTGAAACCCTAACCATCATGGCAATCGTATTAGGAGGCGGGACCTTTGGGAAGTGATTAGGTTGTGAGGGTGGAGGACTCGAATGCAATTAGTGCTCTTGTTAAAAAAAAAAAAATGGCCCCAGAGAGCTGCCTTCCACCACGTGAGGACACAGCAAGAAGCCAAGTATTTCCTAGAAGAGAATCCTCACCAGAACCCGACCCTCCTGGCTCCCTGATCTCGGACTTCTGCCTCCAGAACTGTGAGGAGTAAATTTTTATCGCCTCCACAGCCCCAGTCTGTGGAATTTTGCCACAGCGGCCTGCGCTAAGACAGAGAGCCTGGAGGGACGTCCCCTGGCAGGTAAGTTTGCTTTGTCTGAGTAAGTGGAAGAGAAAGTGTAGGGCAGGGAGAGCAAACTGATACTGGCTGACACAACAGCCTGAGGGAACACGAGGGAAGGCTGGGCAATTTCAGCTCTCACTCAGGAATAAATTAAAAATCATCTAAAGTGAGTTGACTGAACTCAGGAGACCCTCTCCTTCCAACTGGTCTGCAGGGGAAATGGGATATGAAGAAACGGAACAGATGTTCTGACTAAATGTTAATAACCCATAGGCATGCGTGAAAGGCAAGATCATATAAAATCAGAAGAATCAATTTTAATCTAAAAAGATACAGTGGTAGTTCCAGTTCCTGTTATTCTTCTCAAGTCCAGGTTGAAGCATTAGAGCTGAGGTGATTAAGAAATATAGGTTGGTGCAGCCGGGAGAGAATAAAAATGTACATTTAGCATAAGAAATATTTGAGCCCAGGGTCCTATTAATGGGAAAGATGGAAAAGTATTTGATAAAAGCCTTCAAATATAGAGCTTGACTCAAAAATGCCTTGAAACAAGCACGAAAAATTTAAAAATTATTTCCGCATGCTTTACTGCAAAGCTGGTCTTATGAACTTGAAGTTAATAACCATGGTATTCAGGGGGCTGGCCTTGTATTAAGGGCTTAGATGGATTATCTCATCTAATCCTCCCCCAGTCGGGCAGGCGCTATTATCCTCCACACTTTACCTGTGAGGAAACTGAGGTGCAGAGAGGTCACAGTTTGCCAACTGGCAAGGGCCATGCGTCCAGCGAGGAGCGGGAGTGGGGGGGAGCCGAGATCCCACACAAGTCTGTCCCACTCAGAGCTGGGTCCTCAGCACCCCGCGTGTGGCAGGGTGTGGGGTGACACACAGCTCACAGGCTGTGAGAGTCGTGACAGTGCTTTGCCCCTGTACATCACTCAGGGTTCACGTCTAAGTTCAGTGCCTTTGAAAATAACAGTGTGCCCAGCACTGGAACAGCTCACTTGTTTTCGTTTTCTGCTCAGTGTCACGTGAAGTAGATTCCTTCTTGTTAGGGCCATTTTGAATGAAGAACTTAATTTTAAACATTGGGGTCACTCAGAGTGGTGAGATGTTCACCCCCTGGGGAGACAGATGAGGGTGTCCCCATCCCCCAACTCCTCTTCATTTGGGAGGTCGGGCTCCTTGAATTGAATTACTCAGACAGTTCAAATTACAGTCTCCCACTTTGCTCTTGCTTTCTGTATTTTTCAGTATAATGTTGGATTCAGTATTCCGTTGGTTTTGCCGGGTTCCCCTTTTTTGCCTTTTATTACTTTGTTGGAGGCTTCGTTGTTGGGGTTTTGCCCGTTGGCCCCCTGCACTGACTTCCTGCTCCCTCTGCGCGTGTGACCACAGCCCAGGGCACGCTGACTGCTTGCAGGGCCGGCCTCTCTCCATTCCCTGATGGGGGAGGTGCTGGCTGCCCGGGCTCCATGTGCCGAACCCAGACCTGCTTATGCTGGCTGCAGGTGTTACTGAGTTCAGGTGCTTTAATAAGGCATCACAAGGCAATGAGCTAAGAGGGCAAAATAGGGTTGTTATTCCTATGAAACCTGAATTGAAAGCAGCAGGTTTACTTAATTAAAGATGTTAAGAAAATCTTTTGAATTAAATGTAGTTGAATCAACTACAGGAAACTGGGTTAAAATATTGAATTTTGCATGGAAATGGCAGGTCGAATTGTTTTACTTAAAAACAAGAGCAGCTATGGCAGGATGGAGGACCAGAAGCAGCCCGCGCTCTCGCCGGCAGGGAGTGGGTCGAGGCTGCAGGCAGGGCTCGCCCACCGATGGGCCATCTGGGAGAGAGCTTGTGTGTTGTCGGAGAAGCAACCAGAGACACCCAAAGTTGGGGGGGGGTGATCCTCTCAGCAAGATGGGAAGGTACCTGGAGGGGAGGCATCCACATGTGGGGAAGGGTTGAGGGAAAGATCCCCAGGGCTCTGCAGCCCCCCAGCAGGCAGTGAAGTCCGAGCTGCAAGGGGCTCCCAACTACAGCAGGCCCCCCAAACTGATCAGGGAGCTGTCTGGAGACCGCAGCAGCACAGAGCCAGACAGTGGGCACAGTGGGCTCCTACCAACTCCTGGTCTCAGGTCACTTCGGAAGACACAAGTCTGCATTCTCCATCCCCGAGCACCCGGTCAGCAGAGGGCTTGGCTTCCCTGCGGCCACCAGATCAGGGAGGGAGAGAGGAGGGTGGGCGTTCTCAGTACACTGCGATGGGGTGCCGTGCACCCCAACCAAAGCCCCAGCGGCTGCCTCCTGGGGATCTGAGCAGAGCAGGCACCCGCCAGCCCTCAGCTTCTGCTGCTGCCAGCTTGCCATCTCTCTAGCACCACTGCTGCCACCCGAGCAGTACCATGGCAGCTGCCACAGTTGGACCCAGGCATAGGGAAAGCTCCAGTCACCATGACTCCCTGGCCCTGCAGCCTAAGGGATCACCCTGCTGCTGTCTGTGGTTCCGCAATCCACTCAGGCACCAGCCAGGACCCCAGACCCGTCCAGGAGACTGCCAAGGTCCCACGCCCTGCACAGGCACCTGCCAGGTTCCCGACACTCACCCAGGTGCCCACTAAGGTCCCAAGACCTGCCCAGGCACTGGCCAAGGTGCTGCGACATGCCTAGGCATCTGCCAAGTTCCCGTGACATGCCTGTCTGCAGTCCCATGATACATTCAGGTGACCACCAGGGACCCACATCCCACCCAGGCACCGGCCAAGGCCACACCACCTGCGTCCATGGAGAGGGACCTGCCTAGCCCCCTGCTTAAGCTTTCCGCAGCAGCCTGGCAACCAACAACCAATCTGAATGCACATCCCTAGCACCAGCATGGAATGCGACAGCCACAGTGGAACGGGACAGTGCCGGGGAACGGCTGCATTATGGGCTGTCGGTGCATCTTCCTGCCAGGTCAGTCCTTCAGAGGAGGGCACAAAAGTGCTACCTAGGGATTTCTCTTCCTTCTCACTAAGTGGGACAGCTCTCAGCAAAGGAGGACAGATGTGCCACAAACCTACCGGCCTGAGCTGAGAGAAGAGGTTTCAGATGAAAAGAAACTAGCAAAAGAATTCTGGCAACATGAAAAAACAAGCTAGTTTGACATCCTCAAATGATAACAATAGATCCACAGCAACTGACCCCAACCAAAAGGAAATTATTGAAACGTCAGAAATGGAATTCAGAATATGGGTGGCAAACAAGGTGAATTGAAGAGAAAGTTGAAAACCAAAACAAAGAAACCAAGAAGAAAATATTTCAGGACATGGGTGAAAAATATGAAAACCTCACTAAAGAGACAACATAAGAAACGATATAACAGAACTTAAAGAAATGAAAGAGTCATTTAGAGAATTAAAAAATACAGTAAAAAGCTTCAATAACAGATTAGACCAAGCAGAAGACAGAATCTCAGAGCTTGAAGACAAGGCTTTTGAACTAACCAGAGCAATCAGGCAAGAGAAAGAAATGAAGGGCATACAAATTGGGAAAGAGGAGGTCAAACTATCCCTCTTTGCTGATACTATCTTGTATCTAGAAGACCCTAAAGACTCCACCAAAAGTCTCCTAGAATTGATTAATAAATTCAAGAAAGCCTCAGGTTACAAAATCATTGTGTACAAATCAGTAGCACTTCCATATACTATTAACATCAAGATGAGAGTCAATTCAAGGACTCAAGATCATGTACAACATAGCTACAAAGAAAATAAAATACCTAGGAATATACTTAACCAAGGAGCTGAAAGATCTCTACAAGGAGAACGACAAAACACTGATGTAAGAAATAGCAGATGACACAAATGGAGAAACATCCCTTGTTCATGGATTGGCAGAATCAACATTGTTAAACAGCCATACTACCCATAGTGATTTACAGATTGGACACAATTTCCATCAAAATACTATAGTCTTATTTCACAGATTTAGGAAAAAAAATCCCAAGATTCATTTGGAACCGAAAAAGACCCTGAATAGCAAAAGCAATCCTAAGCAAAAAGAACAAATCTGGAGGCATTATATTACCTGACTTCAAATTATACTACAAAGCTATAGTAACCAACACATGTTGGTATAAAAGTGCTGGTATAAAAGTGCTGGTATAACAGTAGAGACATAGACCAGTGTAACAGAATAGAGAACCCAGAAATAAAACCATATAGCTATAACCAACTGATCTTTGACAAGGTAGAAAGCAACATACACTGGGAACAGGAAGCCCTATTCAATAAATCGTGCTGGGAAAACTGGATAGCCACATGCAGAAGCATGAAACAGGACCCTATCTCTCACCATATACAAAAATTAATTCAAGATTGATAGAAGACTTAAATGTAAGGTGTGAAACCATAAAAATTCTAGAAGAAAATGTAGGACAAACTCTTCTAGACATTGGCTCAGGCAAAGAATTTGACTAAGACCCCAAAGGCAGATATAGCAGCAATAAAGATAAATTGGACTTAAATTAAAAAGCTTCTGCATAGCAAAAGAAATAATCAACAAAGTGAACAGACAGCCTACAGAATGGAAGAAAATGACTGCAAGCTATATATCTGACAAAGGATTAATGTCCAAAAATATATTAATGCAAAGAACTCAAATCAGCAAGAAAAAAAAAATCAAAAGGTGGGTAGAAGACATAAACATAAGTTTTTCAAAAGAAGATAGAGAAATAGCCTACAACCATATGAAAAATGCATATCCTTACTAATCATCAGGGAAATGCAAATTAGAACTACAGTGAGATACCATGTTACCCCTATTAGAATGGCCATTATTAAAAAAGTCAAAAAACAATAGATGCTGCCACAGATGCAGAGAGAAAGGAATGCTTATTATACACTGTCAGTGGGACTGCAAATTTGTACCACCTCTATGGAAAATGGTATGGAAAGCCCTCAAAGAGATAAAAGTAGACCTACAATCCCACTTCGGGGTGTTTTTCCCAAAGAAAAATCACTCATTTTAATAAAAAATATACCTGCACTTGAATGTTTATCACAGAAAATTTCACAATTGCGAAGATGTGGAATTAACCTAAGTGCCCATCAATTCACAAGTGGATAAAGAAAACGTGTGTGTGTGTGTGTGTGTCTGTGTGTGTGTACACACCATGGAGTACTACTCAGCCATAAAAAGAATGAAATAATGTCATTTGCAGCAACTAGGAAGAAATTGGAGTCCATTATCCTAAGTGAAGTATCACAGACATGGAAAACCAAACACCAAATGTTCTCAGTAATAAGCGGGAGCTAAATGATGGGTACACATGGGCACAAAGAGATATAAAGGACATTAGAAACCAAGAAGAGGAGAGGGTGGGAGGGGAGGTGTGAGATAAAAACTTACTTAAGGGGTATAATGAACACTGTTCTCACGACAGACACAGCAAAAGCACTGGCATAAGTATTCTACAACATATCCACATAACAAAAACCTTTGTACTTCCTTAATATTTTGAAATAAAAAAACAAAAACAAGACCAATCTTTTGCAGTAACTTGTTTGGAACTGGAGGCCATTATCCTAAGTGAAGTAATTCAGGAATGGAAAACCCGATACAGCATATTTTAACTTACAAGTGGGAGCTAAGCTATGGGTCTGCGTAGTCATACAGAGTGACAAACACTGGAGACTCAGAAAGGGGAGGGAGGGAGGGAGGGAGCAAAAGTGTACAATGTACACTATTCAAGTGATGGATACACTAAAAGCCCAGATTTCATCACTAGACAATTCATCCATATAAAAACAAACCACTTGTATCCCCTAAATTTATTGGAAAAAAATTAAAAACAACAAAAATCCCTTAAACTACAATTCCTAAGTACTATAGTATGGCTGTGGTTGATGTAAGAGCAAGTGGGCAAGCACCAAGTTATGAAACCCATATTCAAAATATTAGCGAGTGATTGTACATTTGCGGGCTTTACATTAGAATATTTTCAAGAGGTACAGATCTTTTTTCCCGTGTTTCCCCACTTTACCTAACTTTATTCAGTTAAACAACCAACTAAAGAAACATCTACTCTGCTATGACGTTCATAGGTAGGAAAGAGAGAGACCCTTACTCTTGCGAATTGAGATTTTTCTGTCTTTCATGGTCTGACCCTCAGCTCCCTCAAACTCAACACTGGGTGACCTTTGATTCCTCCGCCATCATTACAGGAGCTACAACTCCCTATAATCCTGGAGCTGTCTCCTCTCCCAACCCTGGCTTCCATCCCCTCTGCTCCCACCTCCTTCCAAATTTCCTCTCCATTCACCTGGATGATGCTGTGGCTTCCTCCTCTGCCCGCTCCTCTCTCTTCCCAGCCCCACCCATTCCAAACTCCACATTCCTGAGACAGGCTCACCGTGAGCATCCCCAGCGAGCCAGCAAGTGACTGCGGGACAGATGAAGGGAGCACTTGGGCACCGGGCACTGCTCCAGGTGTCCACAGTGCCCCAGCAGGCATCTCTCCCGCCCACTCTCCATGCTCTTCATGTCGGGTACACTCATGGATCACAAATCGGGAGGGGGACCCAGCCTCTGGACACGTGCCGCCACAGCACGTGACAAATGAGCAGCCGTCTCCAGTGCACGCAGGAGACTGCAGAAGGTGGCTGGCCTCCCCTGAAACAGGCTGCAGCCGGGAGGCCCCGCACACCCGGCGGGACTGGTCTCCGTCCTCCTTCCACTGCGGGGCTCATGTCTGGAGCCTGGGGACACGACTTGCCTGGAACTACAGAAGGGCATTTCCCTCGCCCTGCTGCGAGCAGGCAGATCTCCATCCCCTGGTCTCCTCCTGACTCCGGCTTCCTCGCGGGGCGAGGGGCAGGCCCTCTCACAACGGAACAGCCCGGTGTGCGCCGCCACGACCCAGTGCCCGGCAGAGGCCGGGGCCAAGGAGAGCTGGGACCGGCTGGCACAGGCAGGCACGAGCCAGGCCCCCACGGCGGCTCACACTCGCACTCACACCTGCAAACCTTCTGGGCGGGCCGGGCCTGTCGCAAGGCGCCCCGGGGCGCCGTGGCGGATCCTCCGGGTGGTGGGTGGTGGTGTCTGGTCGGAGATGCTCGGAGCCTGCCTGGGCGGGGCTCTGGGAGGAGAACGTTCTGGACCCGCAGTGGAGCGGGCTGCGAGGAAGGGCTGCGTCGCGTTCTCCGAGGAGCTGCCTGGATGTCGGGGCCTCCGCGCCTCTCGGCTCCTTCCCAGGGCAGGTATCCGCGACTCCGGTAGCGAGCCAGGCCCATTTCCCAGGGGCCCCTGCAGCCAAGCGCCTCACATGACCCGCCCCCACCAATCAGAACTTCCCATGGGACCCCTCGCTCGGCCCTGCACCATCATGTGACCTGGGACCACCAATCAGAACCTCCCGTGAGCCTACGCTCCTGAGGAGCCCTGGGAGAAGGAAGATGGCCGTGGCGTGCTATGCACGATCCTGCTGCCTCAGCCTCCCGGGTGGCTGGGACTACAGGCATGCGCCACCACGCTCGGCTAATTTTTTCTATATATTTTTAGTTGTTTGGCTAATTTCTTTCTACTTTTAGTAGAGGTGGGGTTTCGCTCTTGCTCAGTCTGGTTTCACACTCCCGAGCTTGATCGTTCCGCCTGCCTCGGCCTCACAGAATGCTGGGATGGCAGGCGTGAGCCATCGCACTGGGCCCAGGACATGCCCTTTTAGAACTTAGCCTGGAGGAGGGCGGATTTCCGTTGTTGACAGTTAAGAACCTGGTGATGCAGACGCCAGGCGGGATTCGCCCAGGCAGGAAGATGGTCTGGTTCATCCTGTCAGGGTCCTCCTGCTGCTGGACTCCAGAGGGGTGAGAGAGGAGGCCAGCACCTGGCCCGAGGACATGCATCTTTGTCGCAAGATACGCGCACACCTGCAGGGAAACCTTAGACAGACGCACGCTCACACACGCGTGCAAACCCAGAAACATGCCAGTACACAGGCGGACCCCCTCCCCCCACCAGCTTCTCCCATCTCCTGTCCCTAGAGCTGCGGAAAGGAGCAGAGCCTGCTAGACTCCGGCCTCTCCCCCTCCACTAGACTTTGAAACTGAAATCCCACAGCCACCGAGTCCTGGATAATGAGTCCTGTAACGAGCACTGACAGCCCAGGCCAAGTGAAATGCCCGAGTCCCAGCCTCTGTCTGGGAGGGTCGCTGGGATGAGCTGCATACAGCTGCAGGTCGATAAGGATCGAATGCGAGTGGCTCTCAGCTGGGGCGGCCAGTGCCCAGCACAGGCCCCGGGCAGTGTTGTTGGCCGTGGGCCCTTTGCCCTCTGCAGGGCACCGCAGGCAGGCTACATTCGGGGACCTGGGTTGACACGATGCAGTGTGTGCCATTTGTGCTTTAGCAGGGGCATGGGCATAGAGACGGGGACGTCATGTCTGCCCCGTGCTGCGGCTGCAAACAAGGATTTATGCCCAGGCCAAGTCTATCCACTAATGCATTTCCAAGGAAGAAAATCACATCTGAGGGACCGCAGTTGTGCAGTATACTGCACTTGAAATTCTATTATAATTCTGTGAAATCTCGTTATTTATATCTAGACTAAAGGAAATTGAGTTTTCGTTATTTAACTAAATTTCCTGTTCTTAGGAGAAATGCTGTTTTTAGGGCCCACTTCCTCATTCATGAAGAGTGTTCTTTTCAGAGCTGCTCGGTGAGGGGCTTCTGGAAGTCTCTGGGACTCTCGGATCTGTCCTGGAGGATTTGTTTGGAGGGTCATCCTGTCTGCCCTGGGCCTGTTTGCTCTCAGGCCCCTTCCTTCCTTTTCCCCTGCACCCCTGGCTGAACCCTGGGGTGCAGCCCCGTTTGCCTTCTCAGTTCCTCACTCTGATCCCTGTGTTAGCCCTTCCTGGTTTGGAGCAGGTAGAAGTGCATGACTTCTCCAGTTGTCTCAACAAGAGTTCCAAAATTTAGCTTCCTTGTCTCCCAGTGGTTGTGGGTCACACATCCCTCTGTATCTCCATAATCATGCCCAGGAGAATTCACATGTTGATAGTCAGTGCCTGAAACACAGGCCCGATGAGCCAAGGCCTATACTTGAGGCAAGTCAAATATGTGTGTGTAAATTATTACAGATTATATATATATATATATATATATATTCAACTTAAATTTCAATTTTGAAACAATTGTAGAATCATGCTGTTGTAAGAAGTAACTCAGAGATCTTGAGCACCCTTTGCCAGTTTTCCCCAGTGGTAACATCTGGCAAAACTATGGTGGAACATCACAGACAGAGAAGAGCCACTGAGGCCTTGGCGGGTGGACAAGTCAAGTCCGGCAGGTCAAGCTCAGCTGTGTTGTGAGGCGTGTTTGTAAGAAGCCAGCGCAGCGTGGTGAGGCTCACCTCAGAGGTTGCAGGTTGCAGGGGCTGTGCGAGGTGTGGTTTGGTTGGGAGAGGCACCCAAAGCCTGCTTAGTTACGGCTTAGCTGTGTGAGGAGAAGCTGTTCATACAGGGGTGTGGAGCTAAAAATCAGTTTTCCAGGATGGCAGGACTGGGAATGTATTCATGCATCACTTGCATAATTAACATTAATTTTTAAAACTGGAAATAAATAGAACAGCTTCCATTTGTGTGAAGGCAGACTCTCTGTTACCTGGTGTGATGTTCGTTATGTGACGGGCAGAGAGCACACAATTTTATCTCATCTCCTCGGTAGTTCGCTGGAAATAATATTCCGACACAATGAGGTTAAGAGCTGCATTATGGTAGCTTTGCATAATTGCAGAATTTTATTGATGACATAAACCAGCATGTGCTCTCAGTCTATAAACAGCCCCTCCTCCCTGCTTACAGCAGAGGATGTCCTTCTGTGGTTCACTGGGCCCCGTCCCTGGCTCCGGGAGGGAGGAGCTGTCCTCAGAGGGTGGTCGTGCCCCAGATCCTGGCAATCATAGCAGCAGGTGCCGCTGCCGTGTTACGGGGCCGAAATGCCAAGGGTGAGGGAGAGGGACAGACGCACAACGCACCCCACACACAGTCCCTGCTCAAGGACCTGCACGGGCCCCTGCTGACACTGATGATAGAAGAGCCACAGGCAGAGGGGACGGGAGGGCCCAGCACGCACCGTCTCTCAAATGGATGTTAAGCGTGTCTTACCCATCATCTGATGATGCCCCGGCCGGATCACGCGTGGCGCAGGCATGGTGACTCTCCCACTCTGCAGAGGCGGGCATAAACAAAGCAGCTGATGGCGGAGCCCAAGTCCACACCCAGGTCTGATTCCACCAGGGCCCATGACCTCCCCACAGCGCTGCGTGGCCGCGGTACCACCGTGTTGACTCGTTTTCAGGCGCGGTTTGTGACCTCAGGGTCACGGGTGGGGGCGTGGCCGCCAAGCAGTCTCCTTCCTTCTGCTGTGTCAGAGCCACGGGAGAACGGTGATGTCGGCACGGACGGGAATGGCGTGCAGCAGGGAGGTCCCCGAGGCACCGGGGAGGGGGCCAGACTCTCATTCTGCCCTCTGCGGGCCACCGTCACCACCACCATCATCATCCTCACCATTGTCACCATCACTGGCTCCCCTTCCTCCTTTCTTCCTTTCTAAAATAATGTCTTTCTTTCATGTACGTCGTTGATTTCTCGGAGAACGTGAGGTCATTTCTCATGGTGGTTTTGATTAGCTTGTTTCTTTTTATAACATACATGCGCTGTTCAGATGTTTACAAGAAGGTATTCACATATTGTGGAATTAAAACTAAATAATTACCTAAAACAGAGAAGAAAAAAGTGTAGCCCTTCACTCTTGGCTTGGCACGCTGGCTCACGCCTGTCATCCCAGCACTCTGGGAGGCCGAGGCGGGAGGATTGCTTGAGGTCAGGAGTTCGAGACCAGCCTGAGCAAGAGCGAGACCCCATCTCGACTATGAATAGAAAGAAATTAATTGGCCAACTGATATATATAGAAAAACTTAGCGGGGCATGGTGGCGCATGCCTGTAGTCCCAGCTACTTGGGAGGCTGAGGCAAGAGGATCGCTTGAGCCCAGGAGGTTGAGGTTGCTGTGAGCTAGGCTGATGCCATGGCACTCACTTTAGCCCCAGCAACAAAGCGCGAAAAAAAAAAAAAAAAAAAAAAAAAGTGTAGCGATTCACTCTCTCCCATAGTAATTTGACAGGTCTCCTTCCGGTCTTATTTTTATTCGAAGATGTGCAAATGTGATTTTGACCAAACTTGGGATAAAGCAGTCCGCGATGTTGCACAGCCAGCTTTCTTCACTGGGTGCCAGTCATCCCCTTGCAAGCCCCACGTTGCACTGCCTCGCATGCCTCATGACACGCAGCCTCATGCGTGTTTCCAGCCAGCCTCTCCCAACCGTCCCCATCGCTGGCCAGCGGGACAAGCCCCTGTCCTCATCTCTCCCTGTCCCTTCGAATCCCACTGCTGCTTGGTCACCACCCCGGGACCCGCACCTTCCCGGGCCCCCTTGCTCGCATGTCCTGTGGGGTCCTTGTCCTCAAGTGGTCCACAGCCCACGGGGGATCCCGCTCATGCCATTGCCACACATTCCCTGAGGACTCCACACTCCAGACACAGGCTGGGTACCAGGCACCCAGGCACAGCCCCTGCCGACATCAACGACCACTTACAGGCACCAGGGATTTGCTTGTCTAATCTGCATTCTCTCAGCAGTCCTTCTGGGCTGAGCTTTGGGACTCAGTGACATTTGTCACATTCTCTGTTTTTCCCTCTGCCACAGCCAGCGACATATGAACTCGTGTTCAGGCGTGGTGTTGTGACCTCAGGGTCACGGTGGGGGCGTGGCCGCCAAGCAGTCTCCTTCCTTCTGCTGTGTCAGAGCCACGGGAGACCATTGGATGTCGGCACGGACGGGAACGGCGTGCAGCAGGGGAGGTCCGAGGCACCGGGGAGGGGGCCAGACTCTAATTCTGCCTCCGCGGGCACCGTCACCACACTATCATCATCCTCACCATTGGTCACCATCACTGGCTCCCTTCCTCCTTTCTTCCTTTCTAAATACAAACACAACTTTCTTTCATGTACGTCGTTGATTTCTCGGAGAATGTGAGGTCATTTCTCATGGTGGTTTTGATTAGCTTGTTTCTTTTTATAACATACATGCGCTGTTCAGATGTTTCAAGAAGGTATTCACATATTGTGGAATTAAAACTAAATAATTACCTAAAACACGAGAAGAAAAAAGTGTAGCCCTTCCACTCTTGGCTTGGCACGCTGGCTCACGCCTGTCATACCTCCCAGCACTCTGGGAGGCCGAGGCGGGAGGATTGCTTTGAGGTCAGGAGTTCGAGA